TACGTCGGGGCCAGACATATATGATCTGACCACACAAAAAGAAACTCTCTCAATCAATCTCCACTCAAAGTATAACTACCAAATAAGAATAGGACAGGCTGTGGGTTAGATCACGAATACTGTTCAAAATGTTCAAAACCTAAAGCTCTTCTGATAGAATTGAAAAACAACTTGTGCTGCATAAAAAAAAATGTTTCCCCAGTGATTTAAAGATATTTGGAACTTTCGTTTTTGTAAAGAAACCAAAATGCTAGATATTGCCTTTCTATATTAAAATAACGATATCCATATCTGACGCTGAGATTACAACTTACCTAGAGAATATCGCTCACTTATTGAGCCGCACACTGCATAAGTCAAACTCCTTAGGAAGTCCAACTTGGTAGACCGAGAAAATGTATTGAAATCTGCGAATTTGAGTTTTTGATTATCAATTGACAACTAATAGATGTAGGGCTACGGCTTTGAGGGTGGAGGAAGATTTAAAAATTAGACTCTTAACATAATTGAGGGGATTTCTGCTGGATGATCGTTTTTGGACGAAGCTGCTATGCCGAGTTAATCATAGAACCCGCCAATGTTGTTGATTTTGGGCATGATGGCCACGTGCCAGGCATCAACAGCCTTCTCGAGTTGTTAAGTGATTATTTACATATCGGCGGCTGAGTGAAAGACCGCCCTATCTCAGCAAACGGTTGTAAAAAGGCTTATTTCAGAATTTCTTATCTCACAATTTGGTTGAAGAACGCTCGATCTCCGCGAATGGTTCAGAAACACGCTATCTCAGCTGCAGATGTATTGTATTTATATTGGGTTAGGTGGTTTTCGAAGTGGCAGCTGAGATAGAGCAGTTTTGAACCAAATTTTGAGATAGGGCGTTCTTCAACCAAATTCTCAAATTGGGCGTTTTCGACAATTTGCTGAAATAGGTATTTTCGAACCAGGAGCGATCNCAACAATCCCATTAGGCTGGTAGTAGCAACTGGTAACTTGTTTTCCTCCTCAGCTTATGCCACCGTGAGCTGAGCACCGTTTGGTTAAGCCGTCGTCGGCAGGTACCCTCATAAAACGCATCAGACGATGTGATTACTACTTGTGATGCTACCGCATATAGGCATTACTTCAGAAAGTTAATGTTTGAATCGAGTCGATAGCTTTCTAACAGAAAGAAATTTTAGATCGTTTTCTGCAAGCGACTTCTTACGTGAAGGTCCTCGCTGAAATTAACCCTCAATTCGATAAGCAGAGAACGGGTGACCTTAATCGATATACGGCAATGGTTCGCCGTCATTGCGGAAAAGATTCTATAGAAATTATGCAGTCTTCAGATCCTAAACAAAACTCAAAATTCGCTGGTTTTATCAAACTACTTACATATACTCTGCTTCCAGATACACTACAGTCCAGCGTTTGCTGAATGCTAGAAAATGTTACAGACAACACCAAACCACTGATTGTAGTTGAAAAGCTTAAGTATTTCCTTAGAATATGGGTCAATTCACGTCAACTGGCCCAATCGCGCTGAGCGGTGCAAAGCAAGCTACTTTTCGACTACATGGGAATCAGACAAAAAACGGGAATAAAAATTCGAAAAAGTTAGATTTCTCTAGATTTTAATAATGAAAAGTGTTATAGCTTTGGAGCTACTTGATCTTTGAATCTGAAAATTTCACAAATACTTCCTTAAATATTCATCTACAACATTGTATAAAAAAAATTAAATTTATAACCTAACTTTTGCATTAAAAAAACACCCTCTCAATTCTAATAAAAAAGTTTGAAAACCTTGTGATCACAGCATGGCAGAAATACAGTCGGAGGTTTGCCATTGCCTGCCGAGAGACGACCGCTGTTAAGAAAAAACTTTTTTTTTCTATATTTTTGCGATGTTGCTTTGACCAGGGTTTGAACCCTGGTGCTGCGGAGTGGAAGCGCGCACTGCTTACCACTACACCATAGTGGCCGACACGTCTGAGAAATAGCGAGTTTAAATGAAAATTTTGTAAAAATCTGCTGTCACAGTATGATATTCTAATTCGTCCAAGCGAACGGTGCCGACGTGACGCGACCCCTTTTTATTAATGATTTTTACATAAGAAGATCTGATCTTTCGATTGAGATGATTAAAAACAAAATTAAAATTTACCATAATTGAGAAGAATGACAAATAAATTTTCGTTTCAAATTTTCACCATGAAAAAAAGCACGTACAAAAATCTTGGATAATCATATTTTTTGAAATTTGGTTCCCATTTTTTGTCTGATGCCCGGCTACTCGAAAACTACCTTGTTTTGAACCGCTCAGCGCACTTGGGACATTTAACACACATTTAAGTTTTTGTACCCTCATCAGGTACATTACTTTCTTACACACGACTTAGAAGCGTCCACTTTCTGGTAGTCTATTTTGGACTCAATTGAGCTGGTAAGAAGATTATGTAACCTCAATAGTGTTCATGCTAGTAAGTTTTTGAAGTCACTCCGCCCTAGACTGCAACGAACACTTACCTTTCCTTACAGCTTTTAAGTTCATCCAAAAGTTTCGCCTTCTCGGTATGTTCGTGGGTACACTCTTCAGTATTCTGTTGTAATGTGGTTTTCAATTTGTCATGTTGTTTCTCTAAACTGCGCAGCTTTCGATTCAACTGATTGGGGGGTGAAAAAAAATTATGAATTAAAAGGAAAAAAAGTGAAGATACTCCAAACAAACCTCAGCAATTTGCGTTTCCCGCTTCGCTACATCGGCATCAGTCTTTTCCTTTAACTCTTTCTGCAAAGCTTCTAATTCCTCCGTGTGTACAGCTTTTATTTCGGCTAAACGCTTCTCGGACAGTTGTAGAGCTTTTTTGCCCTCCTAGTTGTTTGTGAGAAACCAAATCTAAAGGTGCTTAAAGTTAAATACATATGCAATGTTGCAAGCTTTCACCTGTATTTCCTTCTGCATTTTAACAATCTGCGCATCCATCTCGGTATCCCTGGCATTGGCTAACGAATTCACGCACTCAAAAAGATCATGCAATTTTTTACACTGCAAAAAGGAGAGCGCTGCAGTTTGAGCAAATAAGCTTACACATTGAAAACTTTTTCGTTTTATAGCTTTCACTGCAACTTAAATTACCTGATCGTTTTCCAACTTATTATGCGTTTCTTCCAAATTCAGCGTACGCTCTGCCCCTTCACCCTTCGCCGATTGCAGCTCCTTTAGGTTATCCATCAGGCACATAAGGCAACCATTCACTGCGGCGCGTACTTTTTCTTTGAAATCGTTCACAGAGTCCGCCGCTGGAATGTCAAAGTAGGGGCAATTATCGAAGACGCGAGGGTACGCATCAAAACTTACGCAACTTCTTTGGCATCTTCAACATGTGATCCTCCTTCAGCAATAACTTGTATTCATCATTCTTAACCATTGTTATGAATTTATAATCTGCCTTCAATTTATCGGGCGATGTCAACTTGAGCGTCTCGAACTTCAGCATAAAATCTGTTTGCATGTCTTGCAACTTGCGCTGTAGGCCCTCGAATACCTTGAGTTTGTTATTCTCAGCAACGCGTTCGCGCGCGCTCAGTATTTGTCCACTACCACTGCTTTCGTGATCGCCGGCAGATGAGCTAATTTTGGTGAGCTGCTGTAGCGGTTCGTCAGCTTTTCGAATTTCACTGTTACTGTGGCAGGAAATGGCGCTGGCTAAGAGTGGGGGATAAAGAAGAAACTGTGAACAAACGTACTTCGGTTGTATTGAATGCGTCATGCTCCTACCGCTCCTCTTCGAAATTCTAGCGCCTACATTGCCGCGCGTGGTTTGCGCTTTCAAGTGTGAAGGCGGCTTCAGATTCGTTGAGGTATTCGCCTTAAAACTCAATTTGGAAACATTGGAGTCTACTTTCGTGCCACCGCCACCCAACTCTTTGATGGTCAAACTGATCTTAGAGGCGGAACGCATTTGTTGACGTTGATTGTATCGGGGCGTAATTACGGTCTTTGTGGTTGCACTGGTACCGGTCTGTAGAAAGAAACAACATTTCGGATAAGAGACTCTATACGTTGCGCATTACCCCTAAAAATTTCGTGTACGTACCGCGCGCTTCATGGGTATTTTCGTGTATACGGTATTTTGCGCAGACGCCAACTAAATATATCGACAATAATAATAAAAATATACACAAATAATACAAAGAAAATACAATTTTCATTCAATTCTAAACGAGTTGAATTGAAAAGCATTCTAGCGTGGAACTTTTCCCCCTCGAGTGCGATTATACTCACAGTTTTTGATCTAGCTAAGTGCGGTTTGCTTTCGGTAGTGCTGGTGAGCGTGGGAACGGGTGTGGGTTCGAGAGTTATGGTATTGCTGCTGCTGGTAACATTGGCGGCACCCTCGACTGCTACAACCTCCGTTGCTGGTGGCGGTTTCGTGGACTCGTTCTTTTGCTTGAAAATTAGTTCACCAGTTAATTTAGGTATGGATTTGGATAGATCCTTACGACCAGGCGGTAATGAGTTTGATACTGCGAAAATTGCAATACATTTGTGTAGTTATTTCGCAACGCAGAAAAGTATGCAACATTATGCATCTGGTGCGTACTTACCGAGTTTGCCGTCACTGCCTGCACTATTTCTGCTTGGCGAAACATCCATTTCTGCAAAATTTTTTTTGGTATTGAAATTTGTTTTGTTTTCAACTAAGTTTCGCTTCCAATTTGGCCTTAAGAAGAAATTAATTTAAAATATACGCTATGCGAGAAAAAATTTTTTGTATTGTAAAAAAATATAATAAAAATTTTTCACTGACATTCAGTTGAATTTTACTCAAAGGAATGCTTTAACTTTTAAATTAACAACATATGAAAAAAAATTCCTTAATTCGTTTCCAAGTGTTTGCAGCGGTCGTAAGTAAAAAGATTTGGGATCTCTGATTTAAGATGCGGCAGATACAACTATCTTGCAAGAGTATATGGTTTCCCTAAGACCCAAAAAATCAAGAGCATATCGGCGGCTGAATGGAAAATCGCCCCATCTCGACTGCCGCATACTGGGGCTAAGCCTGCTCAAAATTCAATTTTTAAAAAATGTTTTTTTTGAAAAATAAAAACGCAGGTTTATTCCCCATTAAATTCTACATCGGGGGGTAGGTTTTCACCTTTTTATAGTTTTTCGGCTGGGGGATATGCGTGTCCAAACTTTACGAATTTGAACAAAAAACTTTTTTTTCCAAACTGAGAAATCAAAATGTGAAATTTAAATTGTTACTGTAAGAAAGCGGTATTATATTTCGTTATTGTGTTTTTTCCATTACTTAAAATGAAGCTTATTTATTCTTTTGGTGTATTTTGTTTGAAATTATATGTTTAAAAAAATTTATGATTAAAAAAAAACTAAACTAACCTCTGTCTTTTGTAAGTTTAATTTTCAAAATCACTTCTTTTTTTTAAATGTGCAAAGCACTTTGAAAATTGACAGTACTGCAATATAGTATGTTCCTTCCTTACTAAGAATCCGGGTTCAAAACCAAAGCACTTTGCGCATTTCTAAATAAATTGGTTTTAAAAATTCCACTTCGATTTTAATTAAACACAAAAACATATACTTCTGGTTAAGTTTGATTCTGTTTCATTTCGAACTTAAACTGATTATTATTTTGAGGTTGCTCAATAAATAAAAAGAGGATTTAGTTCTAAAAAGGACTGTAAAATCTTTAGTGAGAAACGGATTTATTTCAAGCAAGGACTTTAAAAACTTTAGAGAGATCTATAGTAGGAAAACGGGTCGCGCTGACAATTTAGGAGACGTTTTTAATAGATTGCTAGTTTCATTAGACCCTACGATTACTAGCTCGCACTTGTTGCCAGTGTGGAGTTACTTAGTAGAACTTGAAGCGAATAATATTAGTTTAACGGGGCATGGATGGGATTTAGATTCCGACTATGAGGAATAAGTGTCACAGTTTTCATTATATAGTACTTATCATAACTATAAGGCACCCACATATTGACAAGTTTTGACTATTTTTCTATCTTTATTTAATTTTAATTATCTTTTTTATAAAAATATAGTTTATTTCTTAGCAAAAATCTAATAAAGCTGAGTTTCGAACTTCGTAAAAATATCGATGTTATTGATTAGATATTTAAAAAAAGATTTTGAGTCCAAGTTTGAAGTAGCTAGGACATACCGTTGATTTTTGGCAAGTATTTTGGTGAAGGTGTCCTAGCTATTTGCACTTTAATGTACTACAATTAAATGGGTTACAAAAGTTCATACTCAAAACCCTTTTAATAGTGCGTAGGGTAACTATACGAGACCCACATAATGAAAAGAAACTTGACTATTTTTGACTATTTATTTTATTAACCGACTTCAAAAAAAGGAGGAGGTTATCAGTTCGTTGGATTTTTTTTTTTTTTATGTATGTATGTTACCGCATAACTTTGGGCCACGTTAACCGATTTCGATAATTCTTTTTTCATCGGAAAGATGGTGTCTCAAGGGTGGTCCCATACTAATCCTTTAGATCCGATAATTGGATCAAGAAGAAATTAACGATAATCTTAAATTTTTATATGAGAAATGAAGTCGTTTGATTTTTGCTTAAAAATTGCTTGTTTTGTATTTTATTTTAATTGTTTATTTTTTTATAAAGATATAGCTGATTTTTTAATTAATTAATGTTTTTAATTAGATGTATTACTTGCTTTTAAATTTAAAATATAATGGGGCATATTCATAGTCAAATCAAAGACGAAACTAAAAATAATTTCGACTTTTTTGACAATTTTTTATAAAAAAGGTGTTTTCAGAGAGCTGAAATTATTTTTACTTTCATCTTTGTTTTGACCATGCATTTAGCCCTTTATGTTTTACATTGAAACGTAAATTATTGTATCTAGTATTTCCTGTCTTTTACTATCTAACTGATCTCTATATAAATGACTTCACCTGTTTCATGCTCTTTCCTAGTGATTATAAAAAATGCACACTTTGTTACTGTTAGTACATTTTATCGCTTTTAACTTAGTTTTAAGTATTGCGAATTCATTGATAAAGCTATCCTAAAATATAAAGGACTATATTATATTGTAACCTAAACTTACCTATTTTTAATAAAATTAGCTGGGGAAATACTCTATAAATAAATAAATATGGTCATCAATGCGTTAAGTCAAAGTCGTAAATGGGTAAATTATTCATAATTTGCACAATAATGAAATCAAATTAACTTAACATAAGATATTAAAAAAATCTGGGTCACCAATGGGTTAATGCATGATCAATAATGGGTTAAGACGTCAAAAATTTACTCTTAAAAAGTATTTCAAGCGAGTCTAATGAAAAGAAAATGATTTCAGAATTTTGAGCACCCGCTTATATGGGACGGCCCCAGTGTGCGTTTGTTCATTTCATAACAGAGCACACACTACTGAGGTTGCCGCAATGGTTGCCTCGTGTGTATTGAACAAGAAGAACAGGCTGCCTAAACACATTGCTTCAATGGTTGCCCGTACTCAGCATTATAATCAATGCTTGAAATCTTATTTACGCGTAAAAATGAATACCACTACTTGTAGTGCAGCAGATTGAATTTAAGCTTCAGTTGCTAAATAGATGCTCACTAAAGCTCATTATTTCTAGCACATCAAAAGAGAGACTCAATAAATAGAACCGCCTGCAGTCTATCGTACTAAAGAGATGGCGGGTGGATTTCAGTTTAGGTACGCGAGCGTGGTAAGGGTAGCCTCACATGTGCACTTCTAAAGCCCCTTTAATGATGTGAATTCATCAGTTCACCCGACTAAACAAGTTTCACCGCAACTACAGCAGCTGCTGTTGGTGTTGTTTCTCAATTGCCAAGTATTTATGTGGCACTTAATGTAACAAAAGGGTTGAGATGAGCGCGTAACTCATACTTGAGCAGCACATGGAAGAGCTCCAGACACCCGCAGACATGCATTCACCAATTGATAGTGCAATGGCACCTTAGTTGCAGTTCAACTGGAGAGCAGACGAGTCGAAAAACGCGCAAAACTTGCACAAGTACGGATACTTGAAGCGAAAGTGTGGCGACGGGATTTTGTTATTTTAATTAATTTTTATTGCAAGAAAAGATTATTAAAAATTAACAAAATCTAAATAATAGCAGTTAAAAATTTAAAAGGTAAAATTGTGTTCTGAAACGAATAGAACGAACGGTATTTTGTGGACTTTGCAAATTTTTCGCCGCCCGGAAGCCGCACAAATGTTGAGGCGCGTTGAAAGTGTGGCGAAACTTTTCCGTGTATTAAAAAAAAACGAAAATTACATGCAAACTTAGATATGTATGTATATATGTACGTATGCAGCTGCGTTATAAATTAGATTGAATTACATTTAATCAATTCTAATGTGCCAACGACCAGACGTAAAAGTGTGCTGACATAACTATGTACATTTGGGTGGTCCAAAAAAATAGTAAGGTCGGAATTTTAATGCTTTCACCTGTTTTTTATTTTGAAATCAAAAAATAAACATTTAAAACCGATAGCAGAAATGCTTAACTTTAGACATAGCTTTACTTTTAATCCAACCTTTAAATATAAAGTGAGCTTTAAAGTTAAAGGTTACTTCAGAAAACGGTGCTTAATCGTTTATTTTAACATTTTTAATACGAACGATTTTTTATGGGTCCGCCATTGCATTTTTTGTGGTTTTTTGGGGATCTAAAAATATCGTTAGTGTTAAAAAATGGTAATCTAAAAAAATTCGGCACTACTATTGGAAGTCTTCTCAGAAAAATCGAGTTTTGCGATCGCAAAATATAGACTTTCAATAATAAGTATTATTATTGGAGGTCTCCTGAAGGGAAACAGAGTTTCCCGATCGAAAAATTTTGATTTTCAAGAATTCTATGGCATTTCTACGAAAAGTGGTTTTTCCCATATATATAACGTGGAAAATTTTTAGTCCTTGAGCAACCTGTAAATATTTTTTGATTTCGAACAATCCTAGGGGATGAGAGCACATGCATGTTTGGGCCACCCTAATGTACGAGTATGTGTGTATCTAAATTTTTACACAAATGCATTTATATGCATGCCTGTTGATTAGTTTTGGAATTGTTTTCGAAAAAGTGTCGGTAATTCCTAGCCGCGAATTAGCAACAAAAAAATATTGTGTAAAAGTGATGAAAATTGTATAACAAAATGCAATAAATAAATTGTTTACACCACGTGTATGAACTAAAAATAGTTTTTGCGTATTTCTCAATTAATTTTATGCACAACAAGTGCTACGAGATGCTTCTGGAAATATTGAAATATATTATTTTGCAAAATTTTTAATTGGCATTACAATTACTTGATAGTACTTAATTAGTGCTACTGGCATTATTAGGCAATAAAAAGTCGTTCATTTGCATGTTTGTAGCGCATAAAAAAAATTTATTTGGTTTTATCCTTTTCTCTTATATAATCGAGCGCGAATTTGTCTTAAAGTTCATTTTAATTGCCTTTATAACTATTTAAATGTTCTGTGAAGCGGTAAAAAAACATCGATTGGATACAAATTACTTCAAACATATATGTATATGGTTGGAATAATAATATCAATAGCTTTGATCGATAGGAATGTAAATTATATGAAATAACGGTAACAGTAAAAACAAACTGAGTGCGTGTAGTCCCTACGCAAAAGAGATTTGCGCGATGAAAGTTGGCAAAGGGGCTTTTTTTGTAAGACGTTCGTGCCAGGATAAACAAAATCGTTCAAACTTTCTACCTACTGTCTTTCAATTGTCTTACAAAAGACCTTCAACAATCTTAGCCAGAATT